TACAATTTAGTCTCGTGCGACCAATTTCCTAATTTAAGTTGTTTTGTGATACATGTATGTGTTATTTTATTGCAAAACTTGATTCTCTTGTAACTTAATGCACATTGACAATGGCATATACATGATTCCTCAATTTCATCGTCTTATTTCTCACGTACTCACCCTATAAAGTTGTGAGTAAAGTTATAGAAGGCCAAAATCGTTAGAGTTAGGTGGAAAAATTTCAACGACAAACACTCAAGTTTAAATTGTGAGGATTGCGTAACAAACAGTTCTTGGAATCTATCATATTCTCACTTAAAATTAAATTAAATTGTACGATACTAAAAACATCAATATTTATGGTGGAATCAGTACATGGTATTTTGAGTGCCAATAGGGTTAACTAACTAGGCTAATACAACAATGATAGCTATTTCGATTTACATAATTGACATCATCTATCATATTTTTAGATTTTTTTTTTGCAATAAGTAACACGATAAGTTGATCCATCTTTACGAATTTTGCCAATTTGTTAGACTTGGTCGTTTTGATGATGCATTAACTTCTCTATCTGATATTTGATCGAACCATTTGACCTTGCTTGAGTGCTCTAATCCGACCAATCTTAGAAGCCTTGCCATTGCGTACTTTGTGCAAGATTCGTAAAATTTGTACACGTATATTTATGATACGAAGAAAGTGACAAAAAATGCTTTCCCAAATCAAGGAGGCACACAAGATGACCAGTACACCGATTTGAGTCACATATTTAAATATCTCTAACTTTAGATCAACATACCTATTTCACGTGTCATGAAATAAAAGTTGGTTATAAGATGAATTTATCGTTTTATTCTTTTCAAATAAACGTAGTTCTTACGTCAATCAAATTCGAATCGATCATTTATTTTCAATGACAATACTGATACGATGAAATTTACAAAAATAAAAATATTAACTCCAAAAATTGAAAAAAAATAAATCAATATAAGATGTAAATATATTATTTTTTTAAGGCGAGAAACAGTCTGTTCTTTACAATACACAACATTAAAATAAGCTTTCTTCAACTGCCAGAAACCCTGAGACATGTAGAGATCTTATGAGATAGGTTATTAGTATGATGATGGCATTCTTTTGTTGGAAAGCCAATTTTGTCCCTTTTTACAAAAAAAAAAAAAATCAGCTATTGTTCAGGCTTGATATACTGTGTGCCCATAATCTGCAGCTTCTTTTTGAAATTGGCCCGTATTTGGAAGAACTCACAAAGACAGGAGGTGCCATAAAGGAGTTTGTTAACCCTAAGTAAGCCCTTTCTCCCTCTCGGTCTTGAATAGAGAAATTTTGTAGGGGATATTACACCGATAATGTGCATATTATATTAATCAAGAACATACCGTGAAATCGAAATATTATTCGATTTACCGAAATCTGATTTGAGAAGACAAAATAGAGATTACCGACTTCCAATATATGAATATGGATTCATCAGTTTCCAATCTTGAACGCGTGTCATTCTTTAATTCAAATCTTGCATGAAATCAAAAGAATATTAGTTACTTTCCGAAATCAAAATATTAAATTAGAATGAAATCGGAAAAGAAATATGAGATGCAAGTGATGCGATCGGTCGAGGCAAGTGTTTGACACTTTGTCCTTAAGATGAATTTGCCCCGCATCCGTGCTAACGGTTTCTCGGCAATTATCTCCCAAGATACAACGACCACGTCAAGCCATATGAGCACTCCAAATGACTTAGACCAACGAACTCGAATGGAGTTCCCTCTCTACCATAACCATGATTTTGATGCAAGAAATAATCACTTCTACAAAGTGGTTTATGCAGAACTAAAGTAAAACATGGAATGGAATGATATGAAACTATCAATTGAATTGTTCCTTTTTCTTGTTGTTAATCCAAACACATGGAGATCTATATATATAGTAATTGGAACATCCATACCAAGATACACATATCTTGGAATTTAATCCATAAAGAGGCACAATTACATCTCTACATAAAGAGATCATTATTGAAAATTAATGTCAAGAGTCATGATTTCCAAGAGTCATGATTCATATGAAAAGACTCATCTTTCTATCTACTCATTCTTTAGAATATTCCACAATATTTTATACAATTTCCAACAATTTCAAACATTTTAAGTTTGGCTTAATTTCTCATTCACCAAATAAAAAATTCCACTTAAACAATCACTTAAATTGGTCACAACCAATTTCGAATTTTCCAACAATCCCCCACATGAATGAAAAATTAATGCAAATGACTATGCAGACACTAGTAGAGAGAGAGCGGAAAACACTGCATCGGATAAGGTAGCTTTTGGCTTTGAACCTCCCTTAGTGAAATACTATCGGACTTACTGGCTAATTGAATGAAAATCAGACCCTTCTTGTTCTCATCAGTTTCATCCGGTTGGTTTGCTCTTCAATGCTGTAACCTCCTTTGCTCTTCAAGGCTGTAACCTCCCTTTCAATGCTTTAAAGACTTGGCACCTCATCGATGTGTATAAATAGAGGATCTCTTGTTGAAAGGAAACACAACAAAAACTAGCAAACACAACAAGAGGAATACAAAACCCGTTTCCTCCTCCTTTCTTTAGCTGCTTCCGTTTTTTATTTTTCTCCCGTTCTTCCTTTGCTGAAATCTTTGAGAGATAGACACGGCGGGTTCGTAGGCGGTTAACGCAGTGCAACGTGAATCGACAACCGATTGTATCCTGGGAATCGAACACCAATCAAAATCTCGTGCACCCCGGTGAGGCAGCGAATTCGATTTAAGGAAACCGTGTAAACACGGATCTTCGGTTTGATTATCTACTTTGATTCTCCACTATTATTATCCTACAAATTTAATTATGGTGCTCTGGCAATGCCTTCCTCGTAATTATTGATACGATCGGTGAAAGAAGAAACTGCATTTATACTGCTGGTGAACGTTGAAAATATCTAAACCGTGTTCTATTACTCGCGAACAATTTGGTTTTAGCTAATTTATGCTATATCTTCCTTAAAAAAGTAAAAAAAGGAAATACCATTATTCACATGATGCGTTGACCATTATTTCTCCCAAATTCTCGTTAACTAAGCCTTTGTTGGTTTCTTTTGGCTCATCTATATTCTCTCTCTGAATGCAGATACAAAGATTCAACTAAAACTGCATTTAAGTCCTCTATGTGACTCGAATGTATGATGCAAGATTATCCCAAAACGCTTCCTCCTTCAGCTAGAGTTGGATTTACTGTAAGAAGAAGCTATGACATTGGAAAATTGTCTTCACGTTTTTTTCTTTATCTTGGTTTCTTAGATTGCACACAAGCACCGCAATTTGCAATATTACAAATTTTGTTCAATCACTCAGGTGAATCCTGTAAAAAACAATCCTGAAGATGCGGCTAAGGTATGAGGAGTCTTCTGTAAAACACAGTTAAATTTTAACCAGGGAGAGAGATGCTTTAAGATTTTCTTGATTAATATTTCTTGATTTTCACATTTTTAACTTTCGATTTTCTGAAATTCATTTCTAGATCTCACGATACGTCTATTTGTATATGCTAAAGGTACCCAAGGGTTATCCATATCAGTGCTACTTCTGGAGAAATGGCCATATGTAAGGCGAACAGCCTTATCCTGAGAAAGGTATTTCACTTTTCGCGGAATACTCGGGCAAAGATAAAACTTATTCTATTTCGGCATTTCCTGATTTTCTCCCAGAAGTGGAGTACTAATATGAAACCTGATTCCTTTATTTCTCTGCTTTTTTGACCTTAACATCTAATCTAAATGGAGAATCGAAGAGGGGGAGAAAAATTTCGGAAAAGAAATTCTCTATTTTCCTATTACTAAGCTTGAGAATATATAGAGATGCTAGTTATTGCGATTTGTGCATATAAGTGCTTGATTTTCTCACAGGCCTTGACATTTTTTGGCATCTTAATTTCGTGATCTTAGTTTCTTTTCCTGATTCTGTACATCATTAGAAAAAACGATGTTATGACAAGGTTCAAAAATATTTGTCACTTTTAACCAACAAACCGAAAGGAGTAAAGTGAGAAACTGAAAGTAAATGTAAAAAACACAATGATTTTCGCCCTAAGGAGAACCGGAGTTCTTAATCCCCTTTTGAGCTTTCGCCGCTGGAAGAAATAACTATAAATCGGAATCAATAAACTGTCCAGAATACACTTTCAAAGGGCACTCAGAAAAACCACTCAAGATTTCATCAACACTAGCCTTTCGATCTATACAAAATGTTCACTCAAGAACACAACTCTCAACACACATATAAACCACTCAAGATAAATCCATCTCAAACCCTAGGCAAATTAACATATAATAGCAGTCACTCGGTAATTGGGGCGAGACTTGGTGACATCTGGGCTGTACAAATCCAATAAAGGAAAATGCGTTTCACCAAAACACGTTTCATTTCATATAAGGCATGTCACTAAGTAATCAAAGGATCCAGGCCAAACAGCCTACTTAAGGTTAGCAAAACCAACCCAACAAATAAAAATCCAATCAGCATATATAGGATGATCATCATTGTGCCAATCTCCACAAACGATATTATATGCATGGAAAGTTCTTTGAATTCAGACATCAGTGTGTTAAATTAAACTCAGACAAATTAATCATGGTTAGGGTGAGAATTGATGAGTGTGTTTACACACGAATGTTATACCAAATAACTTAATTATTTGCCTAATTTTTATGGTTATAGAACGCTTTTAATGTGTGTGCTAGTGTTGTTTTGAAGGTATAGTAAAGAGGTGAAAAAGGGTTATTGAATTATATAAACAAGCCAAAGTGAAAGAAAAGAAGCAGAAAATTGGCGCTTAGGAGCCGAAAAAGGAAGAAAAATAAAATGGCAGCAAGCGCTGCCTATACCAGAATTTCAGCAAGGCAACGCTGCCCGTTACAAAATGGCAGCGCCAGGGCACCCTTCGCGACGCCTAGGCGTTGTGTTGTAAAGTTTAGGGTACGTGTTTTGGGCTACGAAAAGCCCATAAAAAGACTCCAATTTGGCCAAGGACGTGAGGGGAGCATAAATAGATAAGAAGAGGCACAAATTAGGGGTTCCACATATTGCAAAATAGAAAGAAAAACACAAGATTGAAGAGGAAATTCACGAGAAGAAATTCATCACGGATTCGAGTTCGAATCAAAGATTGGAAGCGGAAGAAGATCTTAGTGCAAGAGCTAATTTTATTCCATATTTTTAATCATTTAAATCCGATAATGTATTCGAATATGTTTAATTATTTTATCTTTTCCATCATGTTTAGCTAACTTCTACATTAGGGCAAAAAATGTAATCTTTTGTGACCCTTAATTCTTTAATTCAAGACTTCTATAGTTTATTCTTCCATGTGTTGATTTTATTATGATTTTAATGTTTTGAATTATCTGGCCAATAATTTGATGATCAATTGAGTTTCTAACGAATCGAGATGTGAGTTGGAGGCTTAGAATGTATAATAAAATTCGATAACGAAGTATAATGTATAAAGATACATATACTAAGTACAGATGTGTCAAGACGGACGGGTCGGCTAGACCCGTGAAAATCGGCCCGGATCGACCCATGACAAAGGGCCGCCACGTGACTCGAGCGGGCGGTTCACGGGTCAAGGATGTGTGACTCGTGGGCTTCAGGGGTTGCACCTTCACGGGCCGTGGTTAACCTGCTGGCCAGTGAAAAAAAAAATTAAAATTTTAAAAAAAAAAAAGAAGTTTGAATGTACTTATACTATAAATATTTAATAATAGAAATTAGAAATGCATTTAGTTGTTATTTGTTTAAATCAAATTTAACTATTTAACTTAGTTAATTATAAATAATTCATGTAACATTAAATTTGAATTTTATGTAAACATTTCTTCGTATAAATATGAATTTATCATTCTGTTCAATTCTTAGTTTACATTTAATAAAAAAAATATTTTTTGTTATAAATATAAAAAATACTATATTTTTATAATTTTATTTATACAATCTTATGGTCAAACCGGAACAAACCGCGACCCGTGACCCGTAAGGGCTCAACCCGGATGGATCAGCGGGGCCTGGGTTGTAGTCCAAAATTTGTGAGTTGACCCGAAACCCGTAGCGGGCAGGCTCTTTTCACGCTGGCCGTCACTGGCTCATATGTTGGCGGACCGACCAGGCCCGGACAATCCGGATTGACACCTCTAACTAAGTATTGCGGTCGTTATAAGAATTCCTAGACCTAAAATTCGTTTAACTAAGGGTAAATAACGAAGTATAATGTGTAGGGATACCTATACTAAGTATTGCGGCCGTTATAGGAATTCCTAGAATTAAAATTCGTTTAACTAAGGGTAATTCGCATAGAGATATGGAATTGAATTAGTTGAATAGACTCAATGAGAACTCGAGATAGGTAAATTGAATACCATATGAGAATTCCACTGAACACTACATTATGTTAGAATCTTGAATTAGGAATTAAAGTGATCATTAGATGAATTTGTTTTGCCCTAGTATTTCTTTCATACGTGAATCTTTGATCAATCATTGTTTGGCATTTTATCATAATTTCCATTCGTTTTAGGTATTTATTTCATTATAGAAAATCAATAGTCACAACTATATCAATTCTTTATTTGTTTACTTTCATCAAATAGGAGTAGAAAAAGTAGATTAAGACCAGCGTATAATCCTTATGGGAATAATAATCCGGACTCAAATATCCACTATATTACTTGTTACGATATCGTACACTTGCGTTAGAAAAAACGCAACAAGAATAGATGGGAGTGGACCCGGTTTCTTGACCATCTGACATAGTTAGCATGCCTACATGATATTCCACTCTAACATACCATGTTCCTTGAGGTCAAATTGGTTGGTGTTCTATTTTTCATCCATATTGACCTTTGCCCATCTTAATGAACTAAGGTTCGTAGGTTGCATTGTTTAATCAGAACACATCTATGCTACAGACAAATGCACGCCTGCATGCACGCGCACACATCATACTCCTTTTGGTGTTCTCAGAAAATATAGAAGACGAAAAGAAATATGTTAGTAGATTAGAACATTGTCTGGATATATATTCAAGCCTTTGTGCTACTATTGGCTTTGGTAACTTGCCATGTTCGCATGTGCATTATTCAACTCTTTTTTATTATTGGATTAAGATGATTGCCATTTGCCACAAAACCTGGTCTTAGAAAAACCCACTATGCATGTTTGGTACGTAAGATTAGACAATACTAGAGATGAACATGAGGTGATGTAAAGGTAGATGATCCAGTCCTTCCAGTGTTCAATGGACATGAGGTGGAAGTATGGTCTCGTATTGTTCGGAAGCCGAAATGGGGGCTTTCATTTTCAGATGTTAAAAGCAAAGTCCATGGTAACTGCTCCGTTACACAAAGATCGGCCATGGTCATAAATGCCCCAAATTGCCACATTGTAGATCTATCCTTGGATGGAGCTCTTATTATCGATGCTGCTGATGGTACAGGGGTAAGCTTAATATATTAGACCGTGGTTAAATGCTTAAAAGTTGGCCCCGGTTTGGCAAAGCTTAAAAAATGTAGTCATTTTTAAGTGATTTTTTGTCTCTAAACATGTGACAGACTTGCTTTTTATACTTAGGTTGAAAAAGTAACATTTCTAAACGTAACTCTTAGTTTAGTGTCAAAATAAGCAATTTATTCCTAACTTTCACAAATTATAAATTATTTAAACTTACTACTTGTTAAGTTAACCTTTTGAGCTTAGACCAAACATGCATTGAGTATCAAATCGAAAGTTCTTGTTGAATGATCTATTTCTATATGTTCATATTCCATTTTTGTGTCGTTTTCCTACTTCTCTATGTTAATTCACGACGATAATTTGGAAAAAAATAAGATTTGACGGTTTGTCATAATGTCTTAAATCCAGCAGGTCGAAGTGTTAGGTCCCGTGCAAAATAAAGGATGGACCATTGAAATGTCGATTATAAAGATACTTGGGTACCTGAAAAAGTGAGGATCTGAGGTTTCAAAATAAACAAGATCGAGTAGTTGGTGAAGCCTTGAGGTCTAATTTCTTAAGAGAGTTTGGTTCGTGACTTTCTTTTTCACATAATATATATGCTTGTAACACTACATTTCAATTGATTTTTGTAGTGTCTTGTAATAAAAATTTCCGAAACCCTTGTTAACTCGTGGAGAGTTTGTCAAGGGAAATGGTGATATTTTTCATGTCAAATAATAATTTTTTTGTCTAATTTTCCGACTGTCAAATGAATTATGCTCGGTTCGATAAGCCACAATTTCCAAGGAAAATGGAAAGTATTTTCCTTTTCCCCACAAAGTAGCCGTTTGATTGTCAAAATTAACCCTGGAAAATATTTTCTTAGCTGCCACTTCACGCGCTGATTTTCCTCCAATTGCGGGAAATTGTTTTCCTTCTATTTTGCTAGATTTTGATTTTCCAGCTTTGCTCTTTTTATTTTTATTATTTTTCTTTTTTCTTTTTTTTTTAGCAATTGGAAAAAATTCTAGACACAAGGGTAAATTTTTTATCATTTTTATTGACAATTTCCATGCGAAACAAAGTCAAACTAATGGTATTCGGCATGGTTTTAAAAAAAGAATTTAATTTTTTTTTTGGTTTTTCGAATTGGAACAAATGATAGACCCAATAGTAAAAAAAATTATCACTTTATTGGACAATTTTCATGAAAAACAAAACCAAACGGACACCAAACTTTCAACATTTTTCAGGTGCAAAATTATACAAATCAAACACAATTAATTACAATTCCTAGTAAAATAATTTTTAGGCAATTCAATTCCCTAGAATTCATTTTCTTTCCACCAATTTTCCACATTTGTAATCAAACGGACCCGAAGTTTCCATCTCTCCATTTTCTAATCTTAAGACAAAATTCACACAAAGAAACTCAATGAATGCAATGTTCACAAGCTCCACTGCTGCTGCTGCCGACAATCGCCACATTGGGACACCGATGACCACCACCACCCCATCATGCATCAAGATCACATCAATTTCACTCCTATAACTTTCCCTTTTCTTTCTCTTCAATTACTTCTCTATTTATGTTCTACTACCCCTACCCCCACCACCTCACTCCGAGAGCGCTACCTTTCTTTACTCCCAGCCACCACCGGCACAATCCAATTTCCACCATCACCTTCGTTGCCAACTTGGAAGCCGAGGGTGGTGGTGGAGAGGACTGGAATAGTTGAACTGACTAGTTTCATGATAGAGGATGTCATAGTTGGAGATTTCAACGAAAGTCTAATACAGAGTCGTGGTGAATGAAAATGATTACGGAAATGATGACAAATTCATAGTTTGTGATTCGAGTTTGACTGAGTACATTCCTTGTTTGGACAATGTGGAGGAAATTTTGAGGTCAAATTCATTGGAGAAAATAAAAAGTACGAGAGAAATTGTCCTCAAGATGGTAAAGCATTGGATTATTTAGTGCCTAGGCCTAAATATTACAAGCTTCACATTCCATGGCCTAAAAGTAGGTATGAGGTATAACTTTAATTATACAATCTTTGAAATAATTACATTTCTGAAATTATTTTTCAAGTTTATTATGATGATCACGAGGGTTAATGTAACAACTTGAACATGTGCCAAAACCGTTAACTCATACTTCATGTCTACTTTGGAAGGATGTGTATCCATCTTATTTCTAGTGGATTATAGTTTTGATGTAATTATAGGTTTGGTATGACGACATACCTCACATGAACTTGTCGAAGAAAAAGGAGATACCAAAATTCAAAATCGAGACAAAGCAATACTTGTATATTTTCAGATGGTGGAACACAATTTATCCATGATGCTAACGAATGCTTGGATCAGATTTCCAAGGTTTGCTTAATTTCGAATTTCAGCTGAATATTACCGTTTATTTGCATCTCCTATATTCCCACATCACATTATTCACACAACGATTATACACTGAACAGTTACATACTTTAATAACAAAATAACGTGTCCATGGAGCACGGGCGCTGGAGCGCGGGCAGGGGCTGGGGCGCGGGCAATTGTTGTATGTTTGGAGTTTTACTTGCAGCAGTTTTCACCTATTTGGAAAGACAAGCTTCATAGATTTCTACGACCACCCTAGGATCCTTCTCCACAAGTTCCATGTACTCTTCTCCCTTGCTAAGCTTATCCATGTTGTCCATTATCAATGACAATGATTCATAGCGCAAACATTTTGCACCATGCTGGAGAGCTAAAGCATAACATGGGAGTACGTTTTCCAAGTTCAGTTTGGACATCAGGAACTTCTCACAGTAGGTCTTCAGATACGTGACTTGATATTTTTCAGCCAGCACCAAAAGGTCACTTGCCATGTGCTCGTCGAGGCATGCTTCGGCTGTGTACAAATAATTGACAAAAGCTCGGAGGGCATCGTATGATGCATCACTGACTTTGATGGTCCCACTGATGCTTTCTTCCATGTCGTTTTCGAGCATGGCCCGAAACACTGGAGAACGACTTGCCTGCATGACAATCAAGATTATCAAAATTCATACAAGTACACAACAATTAACTAGATCCTAATAACAGAAACCCAATACTTCCTGGGAGTTATTATGCAAGGACCCCAATGATTTTCAGAAATATCACGACGACTGCAAAAAGTTTCTAGTGAGTAGAAGGACGAGAAATAGCTGCCACTCATCACCACAATGTTTAAGGCTTCGAACATGTCAATTAGATTAAAGATCACCGGATCCATGAATATTTTTTACATCACCTAGTCCACCGACCAATATATCTGATACTTGGATTCCAGTTTCCAAATAATTGACAGAGATGTACACGGCCATCATTATATGATGTCTCATTTTACTATAACTTCTGCTGAGAGTTATCAACTGGACCATCGACAAAGATCGAAAAGTTCGGGAGATAAAATCATAAAAATCATTATGCAATGTCAACATAAAGCTTCACGACATAATTGATAATTAGATATATTTTTTCAGGGATTCCTTGGCATGTATTTTTTATGAGACGCTCCTAAAAAATTGAATTTCTCTGTACAAATTATGTGGTGATCTATGTCAACCTCCAAAAATATAGAGGAGCCTGAACTTCTAACTTACACAGATACCCTTGCCACATCAAGGGCAGAAAAACATTTACTGAAATCAGAATCAGCGGATTTTATGCATCGATGTCTTATAAAAGAACTTCATGGAGCTTTTTCAAATACAAAAGCAAACAAGCACATATCCACCATAGAATCAGAACTGAACTACATACACTTCAGTACTGCTTGCACACGAATTCACCAGAGCAATTTATAATCATTTTTGGTGATGTACACGGCCTTGCCCCGATGTCCATTTACTCAAATTGGTAAAAGTACCGAAAATAGTCAATAAAAATAAATTAGTTGTGTAGAGCCACCTTATAAAACTAAAAGCCAGAAAAACATTAAACTATAATGTTCCAAATCTCTACATTTCCCATCAAAATCATCCAAAATAGTAAATTTGGAATTTTATTCTAATGTAGAGCGATGCAACTATTCTCCCAAAAGCTACAGCTAATAAGAGAGGCACGACCAAACCCAAAATAGAAAATAGTTCAGTAAATTTGGGTGACTCAATCAATTCATCTAAAAGCTATAGTTAGCAGGAGCAATCAATCACTCTTTTATCAATGCCAATCTACTCTATGTTTGGAAATTGCTTCGACAATCCCTTAATAAATACTTCGCCCAGCCTACCCTGGTGTTCAAATGATTCTCGTATCGCATTCATATTCATATCAATTATCAAATCCACCCAAAAAAAAACCAAAAACTAACGAATATTGTGAAATGGGTATCATACCAGGACAGCCCGATGGGCAGGAACGGAGGGAAAACTGGACAGAGGATTGGCAGGGTCAGTCGGACCAGAGACGATTAATAATTCAACGTCAGGGAAGGCAAATGTATTAGACCTGGAAATGGCGATAAGCCCACCAGCCCCAGTGCAGAAAAGGCGGAGGAAATTGACCTTGGCTCTGAGGTCCTCGATCTCGATCTCGAGCTCCTTCTCCGTCTTGCTGGCCTTCGCAGAACATTCAGAGCTCGTTCCAATATAACGTGGATAGTACTCCTCGCGGCTCGCCATTCCCCTCCTTCTTCCTCGTCACCGAAGTCTTCTTCCTCGTCTTCCTGCTCGTCACCGAAGCTACGTCGGGGTCCTATGAAAATCGCCGCCTCCGGTGCTGGTTACGTGACTTACGTCGCATTCTCCTCCATTTATAGTTGCTCTCTACCTTTTGTGCCTTTCTTGCAAGGTGGGCTTTTTGTCTTTGGGAACTTTACCCAAAAATGCGACTTCTGTTCAAATTGGGGTAGATTGGAGAAACTCTTACTGTAGAGGATCTGAATTTTAAGAGCCGTAGCAACTTGGTTTCAACTTTTGAAAAGGAATAGTTGGTCCCTTACACGTTGATATTGTTGTACAATTGGTCCTCGTAGAAATTTGTATTCGTATTTATGTTAAAACCTCGACTCTGTTAAAAACACGATTATATATTTAAGAAAAGAGATGAACAAAAGAAACGTTGGAAATGCCTCATAGTGCAACTACTGTGTTGGCCAATATATATGTCTAGTTTCGATGCCTAAGGCCCTGTTCTCTTTACTGTTTTCAAGTCGTTTTCTGTTTTCGATTTCTCAAAACAATGAAAACGCGTTCTCTTTCGTATTTTCGAAAACAAAAAAAAATTTATGCCTGAAAACACAAAATGGTTAAAACATTGTTTTGGATGTTTTCTAGCCAAATTCAAGAAAAACCCAAAACACGGAAAATGACATTTTCCATTTCAACACAACGTTCTTCTCCTGCACCACAACTGCACCACCACCACCAAAATCCCCACCAGAAACCACAGCCTGACCAACCACCGCACCACCATCACCATCCAATCAACCACCACCACACAGTGCCATTCCACATGCAGCATAACAACCGGCCTGTTTTCAATCAACCACCGCCTGCAGTGGAATCACCATCGC